ACATTTCTTTCCTTGAAATATCATATGCCTCCACACCATCCCTCCATAAGCCCTGTAATTCTTCAATCAAAGGTTGGAGGTAAATATCTAAGCTTTTCTTCGGATGTTTAGGCCCGGGAACAAGTACCGAAAGGAAAAAAAATTCCCTTTTCATGCACATTTCTGGTGGCAAATTGTAAGGAGTGACAATAACCAGCCAAATAGAGTGTGCTTTACCATTCATACCAATCGGATAAAACCCATCTGTTGATAAGCATAGATAAATATTACGGCTTTCAGCAGCAAATGCAAGATATACCGTATTAAAGTGCTTCCACGCTAAGGCATCAGAAGGGTGATGCATCTCGCCTTCCGGACACACATGTTCCTTATGCCACCGCATTTTCGAAGCTGTCGCCTCGAGTTGGTATAGACGTTTGAGACGATCTGTTATCGGCATGTAAAACATTCTCTGTTTTGGTTTATTTTTCCCTTTTCCATGGTTCGGGTAATAACGATCTGCTTCACAAAACCGACACTTAACCAACTTCGCATCTTCCCCCTTCCAAAAAAGCATACAATTATTCTCACAAACATCAATCTTCTGTAAGGGTAACCCAAGAGCTCGTGTCAACTTCTTTGTCTCGTAATACGATGATGGAGCTTTATTCGGCTGCGGAAGCATTTTTTTAAATGCTTCAGATAATTCATCTACACAAGCTTCCGCCAAATTATAATATGTCTTTACTTTCATCATCCGCGAAGCAAGATACAACTGAGATATTCCTTCTGGGCATCCATCGTAAAGAGGTTGAGTAGCTGCTTCAAATGCTTCAAAAGCACTATCATGATATGGTTCCGCTATACCCGTCCCTTCAATAGGTTCTGGCATGTATGTCGGTGCAATGTCCGCATGTACTTCTGGAATTTCCTGGTAACAATCATCATGAATATCCCAAGAAGGATTCTCCCACCTTCCGTCTTCACCCATCGAAGGATTCGCCCCTGAACTTTCCCCAATATCATAGAATTTTTCTCCATGGCTCGTCCAAACATAGTAATTTCCCTTAAACCCGTAGGAAAAAAGATGTCTTGAAACAACTTTTGCATCACGTTGCTTCACGTTTTTGCATTGCGCACAAGGACATAATAGAGTTTTCCGCTCCTGATAATCAGCTTGATTACACGCAAATTGAAGAAACGCTTCGATACCTCCTAGAAAAACTTCTGAAACACAATTACTCTCTGGATCAATCCTTTGATCCATCCACTCTCTTGACTCAAAGTAGAAAGACATAATTTTCTTACAAATTTTGGGTGTTCATAAGTGATTGTATATCATCTTTAGTATTCTTCTATTCTGGCGAGTTGTGAAATGTAATGAAAAACCTAGCCACTACAAAGCCACTGCTTTTTCGTGGCTATACGTAAAAATCTCTGACACACCGGCAGTAAATAATACACGCTTTCGAATAAGCCATGAACTTAGCCACGAAAAGTTAGTGGCTTTCCTCCTTTTGGTCGCAGGATTTGACACATCCCTGCCATTTGTATGTCGGCACAAAAAAACAAAAAAAAAAATCACGCTAAATATAGTGACAAGTTCGTGGCTTTTTGTCTAGCCACGGTATATGTTAGTGGCTTTGTAGTGGCTCGACTGTTTTACCGTGGCTTTTATTCTATCGTGACCTTTTCGTGGCTTTTTCGTGGCTCTTTAAAACTAGCCACGGTTTTGGTGTGGCACTATAGTGGCTATGCGGAAGATTTTTACTAGTGTGTATATTAGATTAGAAACACTAACCCACCAAGAGTTTACACTAGTATACGAGGGGTATATACAAATCCATAACGCAGGAGGTAGGACAACTATTGTATCAGTCAGATTGTAAAACAATAAATCAGTTGGTTATTAATTTTGTATTATTGAGAAAACTTAAATGAAGTTATTTAGCAAAAAAAAAAGGAGTTGGAAATAAATCAAGAAGCGGTCCTAGGGCGGCGAGGCGGTGCTTTTCACCTGTAATCAAACTATTCACTCAATAGTCAATCCCAAAAATTGAAATTATTACATTAAATATCCAATTTACCTCGACCCAATTAGTCAACTCTCTCCATCTGTTTGGCAAATATATTCTTTAAATGTCCCCATCTCTAATTTACTTTTAGTTAGGTCTTACTAACTTTTATTTACAAAACTATAGATTGTGATTTAACACGACATGATTGTTGGTGCCGTTTCTCAGGCAATCCCAGGATTTATGATAATTAATAATTATAATGATTAGTTAAGTAATTAGGATCCATGATGCTCATGGCATGGGCATAGACGTGTGTTTGTCTGTATATAATAGGATAAACATTTATATTTTATACAAAAACATAATGCTGAACTTAGGGCATCATTTGCTCTAAAGAAAAACTTAGGGCATCACAATAGAATCGTACGTTTGTCTCTTACGTACAATTTTTTATTTGATAGTATAAATATTAGGCTTATAGTAAAATACATATCCACAAATGTCTATATCATAGTAATCTATTTCCTCGGAAACAATAAACATGAACAAAAAACATCTGCCTTCCAGCTACAAATAAGTTTAGACACTAAATTCGAGCCACATGGTGAAATCTGCACATAAATTGAGTACTAGTCTTTTAAAAGATAACGGGCTTATGGATAACTAGAACATTATAAGTAATGTTGATAATCCTTATTATTTTAAACGACAAAAAAATCCTTTTATTTTAAAATATATAATCACTTATTTAATCCACATATATCTAGGATGAACACAAAGCCGATACTTACTATTTTAAAGATATTAAAGGCAACATTATTGCATAATTTCTTGTGGTTTGTTCTTAATACACATATATGTGTATATATATATTATATATGTGTATATAATTTTGGGTAAAAGGTTTTACGGAAAACGAAACAGAAAGTTTCTTAAATAAGAGATTTTCTGTTTTGTTTTCCGTAAAGTCCTTAACCCACAATTATATACGTATATATAATATATACATACACATATATGTGTATTGAGAACCAACCACAAGAAACTATGCAATAATGTTGCTCTAATACTTAACTTATCTTATTCGAGTAAAAAAAAAAACTTATATTTGACTTATTAAAAACAAATTTTGCTATTTCAAATACTTGCTCAAGAGTTAATTACTTACAAGTTACTCATCCTGCTCTACTACTTATTATTTGTGAGTATTTGTGAATTATCATAAAACCTCTATAAATGAATAATGTTGGGAATACACCAAAACTATAATTTTTTTTATTAATTTATAGAGATTATTAATTTATTGATATACTAATTAAAGTAAAAAATCAGTTTGGAACTAAAATTTTATTATTTTATAGATATTTTTAGCGTATATTAATTTAAAGAAGTTACAGTGAAACCTCTATAAATTAATAATGTTGGGACTACACAAAAATTATATTTTTTAATTAATTTATAGATATTACTAATTTATAGATATATCAATTGAACTAAAAACTCAATTTGAGACTATACAATTATATAATTTTATAGAAACTTTTAATGTATATTAATTTATAGAGTATTAATTTTAAAAAGTTATATTGTATGTGTGAGTACTTGTGAATTATGTACATATAATTACAACAATTTAAGAATTATCTTCTAAAAATGAATGGAAAATTTTCTTTTATTTATTTTACTTGATAAACATAAAAGATGTATTATAAATAAAATATTTGTGCATATTGTTAAGGAGAAAACGAAGAAAATATATATCCCTATAAATATTATTGACATCTTACAATAACAAAAATGTATTCTATGAACAAGTACAAATAATATCAAAGTGAATAGTTAATTTTTACTTATCATATGTCTTTTACTTGGAAGTATCTAATTTCTATTATTTGATATTCGACTTGATAACAATAAATACTTGAGAAAACAAGGCGAATACAAAACTCAGGGCTGGCGTTAGGCAAAGCCGGATGAAACATTGGTCTTGGCCCCCAATATTTTTTGAAAAAGTTACTTGTATATAGGCCCCCAAAAGAAAAATTTTCAGGCCTCTAAATCCGTTAAAAAAAATTTAAGGTGAAATCGTTAAGAAATCGCCTTAACCCGCATAATCTCAGAGTCGACCCTGACAAAACCAATAACAAATATAAAGCGAGTAAAAAGTATTTGTATCCAATTCTACATATATCCATGTTGGCTGAGTATTCGAAGGGTTTGATACAATAACCTCAGATATACAAAAGTAAATAAGAATAATAAAGAAAACCTATGACTTTTGACAAGGTATTGGAGTCAGATCTAGAACACTATTAGGAGGTCTAATTAATAGGTCCCGAAATATATAACCATCTTTTTGAAAGAAAAACAACATTACCATCTATTAAAAATCGAATTGCGAGACCGTAATGAATATTATTTACACGTCTTAAGAATATAGTTTTTCTTATTTTAAACATATAAAATTTGCAAAATGTAAGAGAAAAGGGAAAAACGACAAAAACGGAAAATAAAATTTCTCGACGTGGCAGAATGATAACCGTCTGATTATAAACTGAAAGATATCGAGCGTGGTCATTAGGTTGTGAGAAAAAAATTAGAAAAGAAAAAAAGATATGAGAGAGGAGGGGAGACAGAGAATTAAATTAGAGCAGAGGGGAGAGAGATTATTAAGGTTATGGCGGCGTTGCAGAGCGCAAGAAAGGCGATGAAACATCTTTCTGATCTCTCTTCTTCTTCTTCCTCTTTCTCTCTGTGTGTTTCTTAAATACTCTCCAGAACTCATCTCTTTACCAGACCCTTAAAAGCTACTCAACTTCAAGACACTACAAACTCAGAGAATAAATTCTTCTACCTAAACCCTAGAAACCCTCTTCCTCTCAAAGATCTAGAGAGAGAAAGTTAAAAATCTTTTAATTTCCGGTTTGTTTCATTTTTTTATTTTCTGAAAAGCTTATTGGAGAGTGTGGTGGTATATATGGGCAGTGGTGGTCTTGCCGGTGAATGGCAGGGTTTTTCTCGTTAGACGGCGGAGGAGGCGGTGGAGGAGGGAGAGGAAACAGCCAAGAAGAACACCGCACCAACACTAATCCTCCTCCTCCTGTATCAGAATCTTGGCTCTGGTACAGAAACCCTAACGCAAACGCAAACGCTCCTTCCTCTTCAAACGCTGTTTTAGGCACACTTGAGTTATGGCAAAACCACAACCAACAAGAAATCATGTTCCAGCATCAACAGCATCAGCACAGGTTAGATCTCTACTCCTCAGCAGCTGGTTTAGGAGTAGGACCAAGCAACCATAGCCAATTCGATATCTCAAACGCTGCCACCGGGAGAGAAGCAGCGCTTATGATGATGCGGAGTGGCGGTGGAGGTGGAAACGGTTTGAGCTGTCAAGACTGTGGAAACCAGGCCAAGAAAGACTGCGCTCATGTTAGGTGTCGAACTTGCTGCAAGAGCCGTGGCTTGGACTGCCCTACGCACGTGAGGAGCACGTGGGTTCCTGCCGCTAAACGCCGTGAGAGACAACATCAGCTAGCCATGGTTCAGCCTCATATGCACCAGAGGCGCGGTGATAGCGGTATACCGAAACGCCAACGGGAGAATTTTCCGGGAGCTTCTTCTGCTCTTGTCTGCACTCGCATTCCTCCTACTCACAACGCTTCAGGTACATTTTACTATATAGTATATATCAGTAAAGTTTAATTATATAAGGTCGTGAAATAATGAATAAACACCATTTTTATAATTTTAAGTTTGGATTGGTATCAGCCTTAAAGAGCCAAATATAACCCTATTTTATTTCTTATTTTTATGAACGAATTATATATATATATATATATATATACTTTTGATTTAGTATTGATTTGTGAGAGTACTGTTTAAGAGTAAACACTGTCTATGAGATTGACAGGAACAAGCTGTTCTCATCGATCTTGAAATCTGTGTTCTGTCTCTAATTCTCTGCACCTTCTTTTCCGTGGCCTGTATATTCGAAGAATAAATAACTATTAGTAATGTTTTTTCTATAGTGAACAAAAAAATATATTTTAATTTATATATTAGTATATAGTATATAAAATCAAACATGCAATTAATGTCTAAGAAAACTGTTATTTTGTCTTGATAAAAAATCTAGGTTTAGAAGTTGGAGATTTCCCGGCGGAGGTGAGCTCACCGGCAGTGTTCAGATGTGTGCGAGTGAGCTCAGTGGAAGATGGAGAAGAAGAATTTGCTTATCAAACAGCCGTAAGCATCGGTGGTCACATCTTTAAAGGCGTTCTCTACGACAAGGGTCCTGGAAGTAGCAGCGGCTACAACGTAATCACCACTGGTGAGAGCTCTTCTGGTGGTGGAGGACACCAGCTCAATCTCATAACAGCTGGATCTGTGACGGTCGCAACTGCTTCTTCCTCCACACCAAACGCCGGTGGTATTGGCAGCTCCTCCGCGGCGGGTTACAACGATCCAGCCTCTCTTTATCCAACTCCAATTAACAGTTTCATGGCCGGTACACAGTTCTTTCCTAACCCAAGATCATGATGTTAATCTGACATAATGCAGAGTAACTATTTTGAATTCTTATAATATAATTAGGGTTTTAAAAATCGTTAATTGTTGGATTCATATTACATAGAGATGTAGAAGTGGGGGAAATTAGGAGGAAAGTGGACCTGTTTATGCTTCTTCTGGACACTCAAAGTTGTTGCAATATTAGGGTTTTTAAACGGAAATTTAATTCAAATAATATCATCATCTTCTTATTATAATGATTTTGTGAGGATATAGTGTTACTTAAATGCTGCCTGAATGGCTGAATCATGGCTGAATCTTTGTTTCATTAATGTGTATGTTTCTTGTTTGTGTAACACGTAACCTTAGAATCCGGAGATAATGTTTCTCATCTTTATGTTACCTTTTGTGTCTTCTTCTGACCAATAGAAAATTTCGTTATATATGTTGCCTATATTATAGTATCAATTAATAACCTCAACCATGGTTTCAATTATGGCGACTATATATGGTCCGTCTTGCCCATCCCATGCATTTAAGGATTTCAATTTGTATTATTTAATTTGTTTGTTACTACTAATAATGGATAAAAAAATAATTGACATGTGATAGAATCAGAGAAGAGCGACATCTAGAGATGTGACCCGAGGGTGCTTTTCTTAATGTAACTTGTTTACCCAAGCCATTTCTCAATCACTAAACGTATTTTTAGGTTAAGTATACAAGTTAGTTTTCTTTATTCATTTACATTTGATACGTTGACTTAGAAATACCACTAATAAAATACTTTTTTTAAAAAATGTTGTTCAATGATCGATTGTATTTGTCACGCAATAAAAACAAAGATTGCAATTTTTACTAGAAAATGTAGTAATTCTCTGATCTAGTTTAATTATTGTTATAGAATAGAGTAAATTTTTTGTTGCAAAATAAATGTTATTAAAAATTTTAATGAAAATTTCTAATATTATATACTTTATATTTTAGTTTATTTTTCTATTACTTGAAATAGGGTTAATTGCTTTATTGTTGATATTTTATAAAATAAAAAAATATTTTAAAATATGTGTACATAAATCAAAAACGTATGTTCTTTTATTGCATGAAAAGTAACGCCATTATTTACTTTTCACTACTACTTTGGAAAGGGAAGAGTACTATTATTGTACTAGTAATCAGATCAAGAGGAAATATTAATCATAATTAACGAGTATTTATCCTTCTTTATTGCCCATACAAAAATAGCCACGCACACATGTTCATGTAAACTTAGGTTTGATATACATGTTCTTTTACTGCATGCACGTGTATGTACGTATACACTCACACAATATATATTATGTATAGAGAAAGAGATGTTTTTTTAGAGTGAGATGTTTCACAATACTTTTAGTTTAACTTTCTTTATTGAGCTGTATATCTAACTCAAAGTTATTGTGAAGCATCTCACACACACTCTCTCTCTCTGTATATATATATATATATATATATATATATATTTATATATTGTGGGATGAATGAGTGCGAAGAGAATCAAGAGATATGATTTGAAACCTGATCTCGGTTTTTTGATGACTTTGGTCTAGTTGTGGAGTGTTCGACCCATAATTAACTATGGTACAAAATTGGTATAGCCCAAAACATTCGATACTGTTGTGTGGTAATTGATAATTTTATGGAGTCCGTGAAGCTCAATCCCCATTGCACAAGAGCATGCCCATTAGGGGTTTTAAGAGAGGGTTCACACGTTTTTCGAAAGGAACAATGATGAACCCGACGTGCGTGGATTCGTCGTGGTGAACCCGGTTCGTCACGGATTCGTCACGTGTCGGGCTGTGATTTGCCAAATTTTTTTTTTTTTGAAAAAGTAAAAAAGAAAAAAAAATTAATTTTTTTTCTGTGAACCTCTCCCCATCAGGTTCACTGATGGAGATGCTCTTAGATTGCGTGATCGACCGATTTGGTCCATTCTAAAATAGTGCTGCCGTCCAATCGGCCAACTAGTTCAGACTTCTACTCCGTGTCATATCCCACTCTCTTATACATCCAAAAATATATATTCCCTCTGTTTCTAAAAGATAAACTTTCTCGTGTTTTCACACATATTAAGAAAACACATTAAATTATTATTGTTTTCAGTAATTTTCAATTTTCAATAACTTTTAACCAATAGTAATCTGATAAAACTATTTTTTTTTTGAAACTTGTAATTTTCTCATAGAAAATATAGAATATACATCTTTTTGAAACAAAATATTTTTCCAGAACATGGATCTTTTAGGAACGGAGGGAGTATAATTTAGTTGAATCACAAGTATACATATAATACTTAACTTTAACGGTTTTTATATGTAAATTCGGTGTCTTGTATTCAAAAATTTTATTATTTTGTGAAGAAAAGACAAATGAGACCAACGTCCACAACACTATTGTAAACTTATAGTTTAACATCTCAAAACCAACATAACAAAAAATATCTCAATTTGAGAGAAAATGATTGAAATTGAGAAGGTATTAAATTATTAGAAAATTGATGCATTTACTCATAGATTGAATTATCAAAGAAAATAAAGCGAGAAAAACAACACGACTCACTGTCGAACCTTTCGATTCTCCTTCTCTAAATCTTATATAAGCCCTGTTATTTTGCCAACCCGCTGCGGCAGCGTCAGCGGCAACAACATAGCTTTAACTGAGAACAAGATAAGCATGGGGGCAATAGAAACAGTCGCGAGAAACGATCGCAGGTATAATCCAAACCGTCTCTCATGGATGAATGTGGATAATTATCCTATTAATTTATAATTTATAATAAATTAACTAATATAATAACATATAAATTTCTATCATTAACATAAAATTCGTTTTTAACTAATTTATATATAAATATATAAATTTCATTAAAGGTATTATTAACTTGGACCGTTCCAATTTTTAATATCTAATATTTAATTATTTAATTAAAAGTATCTTTATACAAATGTTTTTGTTTGATTAATATTTAATTAAAATTGACTTTTAAATTTTAATTTTTTAATTGTAATTTTAAATTTTAAATTTTATAATAGAATAATATTATTTTCAAAAGCTAAAATCAATTATATATAAAATTAAGATACATAAGCATTATCATGTTGTTACAATATTATATTCAGATGATAATAACATATATAAGAATTATCTTATTTTTGATTTTTTATAAACTTATTATATTAATTATTCTAAGTTATCTAAGATAATAACATACTAATCTATTTTTATTTTTTAAATTTTGTTTTTAATTATAAAAGTAGTTATATATAAAAGTTTCATTAAGGGTATAATCGATATTAACTACTCCAACTTTTAATGTGAGAGTTCCGTTGCGAAAAATCACTTCGCAATTTTATAATAGAATAATATTATTTTCAAAAGCCAAAAGCCAAAATCAATTATATATAAAATTAAGATATATAAGCATTATCATGTTGTTACAATATTATATTCAGATGATAATAACATATATAAGAATTATCTTATTTTTGATTTTTTATAAACTTATTATATTAATTATTCTAAGTTATCTATGATAATAACATACTAATCTAATTTTATTTTTTAAATTTTATTTTTAATTATAAAATTAGTTATATATAAAAGTTTCATTAAAGATATAATCGATATTAACCACTCTAACTTTTAACGTGAGAGCTCCGTTGCGAAAAATCACTTTGCAAATAATAGTATAGATGCTTTTTTAATTTCATAGTAATCTAGTTGACCAAAATCATTTTTACAGATGCCTAAAATTATGCCAAAAGAAGATTTTTTAAATTAATAAAAAAAAAAACTTGTCATGTTTAACAGTTCCTTCACTAGACGTTATTACCATTAAGCATCGAATTATTACATGGGGGTGTAATTCTTTCAAGGACAAAACATGAGACACAAAGACCATAAACTAAAATTAGAAACAAAGACAATACTGAAAGTCCCATGCATGTCCGACTCTATTGGATCTTTGATTCAGTCTTCTCTCTTCACAACCTCTCTTTCCTTCTATTTTTACTTCCTTCAACTCCCATTTTACTCCTTCATTTGTCCCCTCCCATCTCCATCTTTTTCTTTCTTTCTTTCTCCACACAAACATTAAAAAAAAATGGCGTTTGGAAAGGGACGTGCAAACAAACGCTCTTCTTCGACGTCGTACGCGTCGACCATTACAATGGTCGTCTTTGTGGCTCTATGTGTCATCGGTGTCTGGATGCTTTCTTCCAACTCCATTATTCCCCCACAGATCTCACAAGCCACCACTCGAGCAGTAATCTCAGAGACAGAAAGGAGTGACTCTTCAAACGGTAACGATGAACCTGAACCAACAAGACAAGAGCCTGATGAGCATCCAACGTATGAAGACAATCCAGGAAAGCTTCCAGACGATGCCATAAAGTCTGAATACGAACAACAAAAGTTAGCTAAAGAGAAGAGTGAAAAGATGAGCTCAAAGGCAAGAGACGAGGGAGGGAGAGAGACTCAAAACCAAGAGACCCAACAAGAAAATGAAAAGATTCCCGAGGAGAAAGAAAAAGATAACGTTATTGAAAGTAAGAGTGACGAGGGTCAGGTGAAAAACGTGGTCAAGGAGTTTGAGAAGGAACAGAAGGAGCAACGAGATGAGGACTCTGGTGCTCAATCAGGTAATAATAAAGGAACACAAGAACAAGAGCAAGAGCAAGGGCAAGGTAAAGAGTCTCAGGACGTGGAACAAGGAAAGAAAGATCAGGATTCCAACGCAGAGGTGACGTACACAGATAAGACCAAAGAAGAACAACCTATGGAAGTAGAGCAGAGCAGTACATCAGAGAGCTCAAAGAACGAAGAAAACGGACAGCAACAACAAGAAGATCAAAACTCAGGTAAAGAGGAGAACAATAATGAAGAAAATGAAAAGGAGCAGAAGAGTATAAAGGATGAGAACGGACCACAAGAGGAACATAACACAACAGAAGAAGAGAGTGGAAGCAAAGAAGAACAAAACACAACAAAGGAAGAAAATGTGGAGCTACAACAACAAGAAGAGCCAAAAGATGAGAAAAGACAAGAGAGTTCAGAAGCAAGTGGGTTTGGTTCTGGAATACCAAAAGAATCATCAGAATCACAAAAAACATGGAAGAGTCAAGCAACAGAATCTAAAGACGAGAAACAAAGACAAACATCTGAATCAAATACTGTAGAGAGTGTAATGGTTGGAAAGGCATGGGAGTTGTGCAATGAAACAGCAGGTTATGATTATATACCATGCCTAGACAATGAAGCAGCTATAAAGAAACTAACTAGTAGAAGACATTTTGAGCACAGAGAGAGGCATTGTCCAGAAGACCCACCAACGTGTCTTGTCCCCCTTCCAGAAGGGTATAAGGAGTCTATCAAATGGCCAGAAAGCAGGGATAAGGTAAAAGATTTGATCCAAATTATTATTTTTTTCGGTGAGGTGAAATGATGGATAAAAGTGGACTTACATGTGATCTAGTAGATATGGTACCACAATGTCCCACACACAAAGCTAGCAGAAGTGAAAGGACATCAGAATTGGGTGAAGGTTACTGGAGAGTTCTTAACGTTTCCAGGAGGTGGAACACAGTTTATCCATGGAGCTCTCCATTATATTGACTTCCTTCAGCAGGTGAACTCATTCAAAACTGGACCAAATTTTTATTTTTTATTTTATTTTTTGATCAAAAACTGGACCAAAAATAAAGATATAAAGTTGAGAATTACAATAGAATAACACTAAAACATCCTTTTTGTTCAAAAACTAGCACATGAAATTATCAAAATAGCATTAGCTAAAAATTTAGAAATAGGTTTTTATTTTATATTTTGGTTCGAGTTTAGTGATTAGCTTTAATTTTTAGGGGGTGAGATTTGGAGTAATTTGATCATTTTACATTTTAATTAATATCATTTTAGAGATTTTCTTCTCGGATGCTAGTTTTGCCATCAAACTTTTTTTTTGTGCTATAAAAGTGATTTTTTTTCTATAAAGTTTGTGCTAATGCCTCTTTTTTTTTTTTTCCTATGTCAGGCTTTGAAAAACATTGCATGGGGTAAACGCACACGAGTTGTATTAGATGTTGGATGTGGAGTGGCTAGCTTTGGTGGATTCCTCTTTGAAAGAGATGTTATAGCCATGTCACTTGCACCAAAAGATGAACATGAGGCTCAGGTTCAGTTTGCTCTCGAAAGAAAGATCCCAGCCATCTCTGCAGTGATGGGCTCTAAGAGATTACCATTCCCGGGTAGAGTGTTTGACCTTATCCACTGTGCACGTTGCAGAGTCCCTTGGCACAATGAAGGTGGTATGCTGCTTCTGGAACTGAATCGGATGCTTCGTCCTGGAGGTTATTTTGTCTGGTCAGCAACACCAGTTTACCAGAAGCTTGAAGAAGATGTTCAAATCTGGAAAGGTATAAGGTTTTAGCTCAAAAATGTTCTCTTTATTTTTGTTTGTTTCTATGAAGCTGACATGTTTTGAGTTTTATGTAGAGATGTCTGCGCTGACAAAATCTATGTGTTGGGAACTTGTGACAATCAACAAGGATAAACTCAATGGTATTGGTGCTGCCATCTACCAGAAACCTACCACGAATGAATGCTATGAGAAACGAAAGCGAAACAGGCCTCCCATGTGCAAAAATAACGATGATGCAAATGCAGCATGGTAATGATGATGTTTCCATAATATGAAGAACCTTTTAAGTTTTAATAAAAGAAAAGTTAAAGATAAAATGATAATTTCAGGTACGTACCGCTACAAGCATGCATGCATAAAGTGCCAACCAATGTGGTTGAGAGAGGGAGCAAGTGGCCTGTGAACTGGCCACGTCGGCTTCAAACACCTCCTTACTGGCTAAACAGCTCACAAATGGGGATTTATGGGAAACCAGCTCCTAGAGACTTCACTACCGATTATGAACATTGGAAGCACGTTGTTAGCAAAGTATATATGAACGAAATAGGTATCAGCTGGTCTAACGTGAGGAATGTGATGGATATGCGAGCCGTCTACGGAGGGTAAGCATAGACAAGAACAAACCAAAAGAGATGAAACAAGATACAATTCATTCACTAAAACTAAAGCTTTTAAATTTTTTTTTGTCAAACATACAACAGGTTTGCAGCAGCTCTAAGGGACTTGCAAGTGTGGGTGATGAATGTAGTGAACATTAATTCACCAGATACATTACCGATAATCTACGAGAGAGGACTGTTTGGAATATATCATGACTGGTGTGAATCTTTTAGCACATACCCTCGGAGTTATGATCTATTGCATGCAGATCATCTCTTCTCCAAGTTGAGACCAAGGTAAAACCTTAAGTTTTTTCCACCTCTTTTGGCTATTTTCATCAGCAATCCTGAAAAATATTGAAAATATTCTATTTTGAAGGTGCAATCTTGTTCCAGTACTGGCAGAAGTGGATAGAATAGTAAGACCAGGAGGTAAACTAATAGTACGTGATGAAGCCAATGTGATAAGAGAGATAGAGAATATGTTGAAGTCACTGCATTGGGATGTTCATCTAACCTTCTCCAAGCACCAAGAAGGAATATTAAGTGCACAAAAAGGATACTGGAGACCAGATACTGCTCTCTGAAATATAAAGGAGATAGTCTTTATGGAATCTGCAACTGAAGCAGCATTATATAAATTACATTTATTTCTAAGCCCAAAACATATTTCATGTTTCTAGAATTTGATTAAAAAAACTGTCAACTATAAGCAGTAGTCGTTTGTCTTCTTGAACTATAGATTAATTAGAACATATTTTTTTCAGTTCATACTTGATAGACATTTAACATGGTTATGCTCGAAAAAAACATGCTATGACTATGAATCATTCAGTAGTAACATAATACTTTTTCTTGCAACTCTTAAAGACGTTATATTAGAGATTTGTTCATATATATACATGCAATATTATAGAATTGCATTATATTATTTAAAACATAATTTTTTGAAATCTTTTTTAGGAATATGTTTTGGAAGTTAATTGATTTCTGCTTTACCATTTGACCATTTTATTTTGCTATCAACAAATTTCTTATTTGGTGGACCAGAAAAATAAATAACTTTGCATAAAATGCTAACGGGCTTAATGAGGTGTCCAAAGCCGTGAAGATTCAGATAGCCCAGCCCAACTAAACACTATTCTTCTTTCAAACGCTAAACATGCTTCCGTACTACAAAACGATGCCGTATCGTTTTGGATCATCTCTAGTTCTCTACCATCCCCCTCAGTAACGCTTTGAAATTTACAAAAAGTATCTTATAACGCTGCACATAGTATGTATTATATGTATACTTTTTTATGAGTAGAGAGGGCCCTGGGCACTAGTATCATGATATCATCATATTCAATGCTTTTACCAAACTCAAACCTCTTCTTCTAGTTCACACCTTAACCTCCACCACCACTTTTCTTCATCTCTTTCTCTCCTCCTTCACCGACATCTCCTCCAAACTCCTCTCTCAGTTACTCTCAGGTATTCGAATTTCTTATGGTTTTACATTGTTTCCGACAAGTTTTCAAATTGACATGGAAAGGATGAAACTTTATGTTCTTTTTTCTTTTTTTTAGGATGGAAAGTGTTGAACTTTCGTTTAAAGAGAAAGCCGTCACCGACGGTTTCTCTGTTGACGACTTGCTTGACTTCTCAAACGACGACGTTTTCATTGACGACGAAACTAAACCGAAGACAGGAGGAGTCTCAGTTTCCTCGAATGACGAAATTACCCTTCACCGGAGCAACGAATTCTCCACCCCCTGTGAAGATTTTGGCAGCGAGCTCGCCGTTCCGGTAATTATTCCGTTTTTCCCTCCTCAGATATATTTTTCCGAAATTGAATTTATTTTTCAATTATTATTTTTCAGTTTTTTTTTTTAACTTAATTATTTATTTTTTTGTTAGACGGATGATTTAGCGGAACTCGAATGGTTATCCAATTTCGTGGAGGACTCTTATTCCGCTCCGACGAAAAAACCGGTTTGGTTAACCGAAAACCGGAGACACCCTGTACCACCGGTTAACGAGGGTTCGTGTTTTAAAGCCCCTCTCCCGGTTAAAATACGAACCAAACGACCAAGAACCGGAGTCAGTGTCTGGTCTCTCGGTTCGCCTTCATTAACCGACTCGTCCTCAAGCTCTTCCTCCTCGTCGGCTCCTTCAAGTCCTCTATGGCTCTCCGGCGCCGAGTTTCTCGATAACAAAGCTGTTAAAAGACAGAAGAGGGCGAAGAAGGTTAGGGACAACAGTGGTCAGACGCAGACGCGGAGGTGTAGCCATTGTGGCGTTCAGAAAACGCCGCAGTGGAGAGCGGGACCAATGGGAGCGAAAACGCTTTGTAATGCGTGTGGTGTGCGGTTCAAGTCGGGTCGGTTATTACCCGAGTATAGACCCGCTTGTAGCCCGACTTTCTCGAGTGAGCTGCATTCGAACCATCACCGTAAAGTCATTGAGATGCGTCAGAAAAAGGAGATGTCTAGTGATGCTGATGAACCCGGTATGAACCGGACGGTTCAGGCTGTGCAGAGTTTTTGAAAAAGAATTTAGGATCCGACCCGGTTAAGTTTTAGCATTAACTGCTTTGAAATACTGTTATTTTCATTATTTTTTTACCTTTTTTCTGTAGTAGTCGCAGTAGTTTTTGTTTGTTTGTAGTAACTGGTCAGGTTTTAAAACTTTAAAACTCATATATCCCTATATATTATTTGTTTCGCGTTATATTTCAGTTTTTTTTTTTTTTTTGCCTCGTGCAACGTTTTGAATCTACTTTAAAACTCCTTTTTTCACTAACTTTACACTTTGAAAATGTGAATGTGAAAAAAAAAAGTGAATGTGAGTACGAAATCGTTCGGAGTTTCAACCCTAGGTCATGGGTATATTCCAAGCCCATTATCTCCTGCATCGTTTAAATTGGATACACCGTCATGATCGTTATCGAGTGCGGTTCCTTATCAAGTTATAAATGTATGCACAATAATTATTTGACAAAGCGGATACAAATACAATTTGTTTTTACTTAAAATTGGTAATTTGGTAATTATGAGACTATATATAGAAGATTAATTGTTTGAATGTTAAATGAGGAAAGCCAAATTACGGGGAGGCTTTGATTTTAGTAGGGTTGGCAACGATTTGGTATACGTAACAGATAATTAATTAATTAGGTTGTTATAATTTATAAATATTAAAGTTGATTTTACGATGGATTATACAAATTAATCAAAGTCGGTGAAAAAAATAAATTAATTAAACTCGTTAACATAAAAGCTTGTGCTATTTTGTCACAGACGCACAGTCGTTGTGCTCAACACCTCCGATTACAACATCTTGTGTAGTCAACGTCATGCCAGGAAAATGTTTATAACCTCTAATTTAATTTGAATCTTGTTCATATTAATAAAATTTACATTAATAAATTTATTTGCAATTGAACGAAAATCACACGTGTTGTTATGCCCAAAAAGTCTACTATAAGTTTTTTTTTGTTTTTTTTGAACACAGTCTACTATAAGTTTAAAAGATTGTATATATAACATTTTGAAATTGTCGTTGTTATTAGATGTTGTTTTTGAACACAGTCTACTTCTGTAAATTGTCGTTGTTTTTGAACACAGTCTACCCAAATTAACTATGCATTTCGTAAATTGTTGTTGTTAGTAAATGTTAATAGCCATCGCTTTCTCTCTTGACATAGCTCAAAATTTAAACTGAAACAGCTACATTAACATACTGGATACAGTCTCTGATTGAACAATTTATTACTTTGCGTAAAGATTGAATGCGACTTTTTAGTGACGTGCGATATAGCCAGTGTTAATTTGGACTATATATGTATAGTACAACATAATATTCGTTGACCATATCTATTAGATTAATTAGCACCACCCACCGCTTACACCAATATGATCTCTCTTTCACTTTACACTTTAGTTTTACTTGCAAATATTTGTTACCTCATAAATCTCGGGCATGGTCATATGTACCAAATAGCTTAAGTAGTGGTTTTGTTTTTTCTTGATAATCAGGATTCAGGACTAACATTGCTTTAGTTTAAAAGTTGATAAACTAATTAGTAAAGCTAAGAGATAATCATTGGAACTTAAAAAGAAGAAAAACCAAAAGAAAGGCGTGGGGAGTCACGTGATGAGCATTTCCCCACCCGACTCAACCACTTTCACACACTCCAGTTCTAACTTTTACGTTGTTATGGTCCATTCATTGGACATTGGTTAGTTCCATTTTATCTTTAAGTTTCGTAAAAGAAAAGTTAGCCCTCCTAACAATTTTCACATAAAGTTGCATATTCTTGTTGAGTAGGGTTTTAAAAGTTACAAAGATAATAGAGAAAATTTGTTTCCGCGACGAACTTCTCGAGTCGTGTGCCAAAAGATTTGTAAGGAGATCCTTTGACCCAACAATACATGTGATGTGAGTTTGCCATATTCTCATCTTGACGTTATTTCGCTTTACGTTTCTTCTATTAAATAGAAGACATATATTGCGAGAATCTTGCATGGTGTGTTTATTTTCGTAAGATTGAAAGATAAGTTGAAGTAGTAGTCAACAACAATACCCAAAACTCACCTAAACTATAGTAGTAAACCAAAATCTTTTGGTTATGTTATTGAACCTCCCACACGGTTTAACCGCACCTTGGTGTTATCTATGCGGTTCAAACACGGGGTTGACCGGACCACTTTAATTTAATTTCACGGTTTCACCTCTCCGCATTCAACACATTTGGGGAAAAAGGCCGTAGTAAGCAGTAACTGTAAGTATTACAACCTCACGTGCATTTCATGCTTCAGTCACGCCTTCCTCTCGAAGCTATTTTCAACACTAATCGCATCATAAGCAGTTGGATGGTTCTAAACCCATTTTCAATTTCAAGGGTAGTTTTTATGGTCACGCCTAGGGCCGGATTTGGAGATTTGTAGAGTCATAAACATTTGTAGGTTAATCTTAAAAGAAACAATTTCGACAATTTGATAACCATACGATATATACTCTCTTTAAAATTTGGAGATCAATTTGAATTTTTCGTATAACCAACCATGGTCTGGTTATGTGGTGTGAAGATATCTATCTAATAGAAACTAGTAGCCATACTATTTTATGGGCCTAAAGCTGGACCCAAAGCAGAGAATAAATTTTGCAGGGCCTGCCGAGTTATGGCTGGACTCTGTTTGAATTATCATGAAGTATAAGCCCTACCTTCCCATTAAGGAGAGTAGTGGCTATGGATATATATGAACATTATGAACAACATGTTGCTATGTACAAACAATATTGTATGTATTCTATACTACACAAATAGGTGAAAGAAACATAAGCATATATACGTTGATCGTAAATCTCATAGATTGGTTATACTTTTATTTCTTTTGTCATATATTGTAATAAGGACATGAAATTACATTAAACATAGGAATAATTCACAAGATGGAGAGAGCAGACCAATATTTCATCCCAGACTTGAAAAAAAAACAGCAAAGATGATGGAGTTGGTCAATGAGTTTACATTACATGACGATCCGGAGGACGGCAAGACCAACGGCTGAGATGGAGACAAGTGTTCCGATACAATACTTGATCACCTCGTACTTGGCCGCTTCCAGTTGCGCTCTCAAAGTGTGGATCTCCTGAAAGATAGAATATAGAAAAACATAATCACTCTTGCTGCCTTAAAAGAAAAAAAAGAATACAGAGATGAGAGATACTAACACGATCAAGCTTGTTTGTAAGGTTAGAGGTTTCAGCATTTTGATCCGTTAGCTCATCTCTTATCCTCCTAAACCATCATGGAACCATACTCAAGATCATATAGCCACACACAAAAAGAAGTTTTAACGAAGAGAGAAAGAAGTAAGTGTTTTCTCTGACCCTTTTTCAAGATTCAAGTCCAACCGTTGTCCTGCTGTGACTTTATCTATTTCATGCCTGCAATGTAATTGCTTTAGTCCCTGAAACACTGCACTGAATCTACAACTAACCAAAGCTCTAGAGATTGGTATAAAAGCAGACCTTATATCAGTGCGGATTCGCTCAATGTCATTGCGGAGTTTCTCATTCTCGTGTTGCAGCAAAGAGAAATGGTGGTCCTATTCATGGAAACCAGCATTTTTCAACATTCTTTACATCACTATTGAGAAAAAAAAAATACTTATTGGCTCTATCATATGGTTTTCCAAGCAATTCACGCCTAATGTCTCATAAAAGTTATGTTAAAAAGTGAAATAAACAGAGCTTACCAGTGAGCTGTTAATTTCACTTTTGAACTTGGATAAGTTTGATTCCTGAGTCATTTCAGCCTAACCACCATAAGCAAGAAGACCAAAGTTAGACCGAATTTTAAGCAGAGCTCTTAGTTTTTTCCTTGTCTTAGAATGAATAAAACTTACTTTCTGCATCTCACCCTTGCAAACAACCAACTGAGAAACAACTCCTAAGCTATCATTCAAAACTTCAGTTATAGCACCAGTTATTGCCTCTGCTTGCTTTGAAGGCAGTCCTTGTGCTTCTAAGCTCCTAACCTGAAAAATCACAATTCCATATACATCATCCCCTTTGAATTAGACTCTTTTAAGACAATATCCAAAAATAACGACCAGACACATGGGCATTCCATAACTCCGGTCTTTGACTATATAACCATTATATTGTCTCATTACCAAAAGCAACACAAAAATTTTGAGAAATCATTCAGACATAGAAAACAATAATCAACCATCTTCAAGATGCAATAAAAATCAGATATGCAATTAAAAAAAAAAGAACAGCAAGAAATAGTATTATATCATTTATTTATTATTTACCAAGGCGAGTGTGTCGACGAGATGCAAACGTTTGCCATTGGCGGTTTTGACAAGTTGAGAAATGAATCTGGCGTGGGGTTGTCTGAACAGAGAAGATGATGAACGAATGTCGTGTTGGTGATCGAACAGGTTCCTGTCAACAAATGTCGGGTTTGGACTTGGAGAAGTGATTGATCTGAAAGTAGACAGATTTACACCTGAACTCGTACCACCAAGCCGTGCCAACCGGAGATAATTCGCGAAAGCGGCCATCAATTGAGAATTGGAACTCTAAAGATTCAATCAACCGAACCGTAAAGCAGTTTATGAGAATGCGTGAAGAGGAAAAAAAAAATAAGAAACTTCCCAATCGGGTAAAAGCATGCAAATGAAAAAGAAAACTTTGAAAATGGGTTTTGATGGGGGAATTGTTATTATTTTTTTTTAATAATCTTTGTGTTCTTCTTTTGCATTGAAGTCGCTAAGAAGTCTCCGCACCATCAAAAGAAACTGACGGAGGACGATAGAGAATAGATAGAGTAAGCGTCAACGTTTTCTCTTTCTTTCTTTCCATAACCGGCACGTTTCCCTAAACTAAACTCGCTTTGGATGGATATTCACTGTTTCCCATGTGCTTAATTCTCCAACTTGGCCATGTTAATCATCAATCATTTAAAGTTTTTTTTTTTAAGGTTTTAAATAATAATACTCCCTCTGTTTCATTATAAGTGTCACTCTATAGCTGTGCACACGGATTAAGAAAACAATTAATTTTACATATTTCCTATATAAAAACACAGTTACCCATACACCTAACCATATTTTAACCAATAGAAAAACAAATTACATAATAAAATTAATAAATTTTGCATTGAAAACCGAAAACGACACTTATTTTGTAACGCAAAAAATTCTCTACAACGACACTTAATATAAAACGGAGGGAGTATGAATCTCTGTTATCTTTGACTGTAATAAGGATTAGTTGTCGGAAGAAAAAGAAGATTATAGAAGAGAAACACAACAAATATAAAGATACAAGAGCATACAATCAAGTATGTTACCACACACACACAAGAAAAACATATGAGTAACCTTGGCAGCGTCTTTAACCATCAAGGAAAAGAGTATATACATAAGAGAAATAGTCTTACCAATCACTCTCCGTATGGACCACTTTGCCATGATTAATAAACTCATAAGCAAATCAAAACTGAAGTGTGAGCACATTACAGTTCTCCTAGTTCTAAAGATTTTATCAATACAAGCATTTTCTTATTTGTTGCTTTTTATTGTAATTTTTAGAATCCAAAGGGAGGTTCCAAAGAGTGTCAACTTAATTTCATATCCTGTTGTGTCAACTGTGCCTTTTCTGTGTTTCTCTCCACATTTAATGTAGCAAATGAGGTTTCTTTACTTTGGTGGCTTTCGATATCCGTCCAAGGAGTCGTCAAAATGATCTTTCACAAAGTTACCCACTCTCTTCAGGTTCTTCATCACACCTGATGCTACCAGGTTTGCATTTCTCGTGAACCTGCATCCATTCCCCCACAGATAAGAAAAAATGGCCAATATTGGATCACATTCAGAAATGTTTTTTTATGGTAGATAAGAGCTATTGGTTAGTCTAACTACTGCAGATCTAATTTCTGTACTTGGAGGTTTCTAGTAAATATGACAAACAATTTAGGCTGCAAAGAGAAATACCAATGCAATTGTGATTAAGCCAGACCAAGTCAAAATCTTAAAAGGTCGTGACCAGCTTACCTTGTTACGAAGCCGTTTTCAGTGTTTTTGGCAGTGGCTGGGGTTGGTGTTCGGTTCGGAGTTGGTCTATGATTCTGGTGCTGAGGCAAATCCAGAGAATCTAGAGTATATAAAAAAATGATGAGCATATAGCAAGTTATATAGTAAGCAGGTGAATGAGAGAGAGGATTAATAGTACCATTTCTATTTTGAATGGGGGTAGGAACAGATGAAGTGTTGCTGGAAGCTGCTCTTCTCTGCTAGTATCTGCATCAACACTATAAAATTTGAAGGATATAATAGAGATTGAGAAAAAAAACACCAACTAAATAGTCCAAAGCGCATGACAGTAAAGCCTAATGGAGAAAAAGTGAAGAGTGTCTTAAAACCAAGGCCGACACAAACGGGAAGTTGGGTCTTTGTATGTTGCTTCAAGGCAGTAGTTGAGTCATTGTCAGTCATGTAGACGGAATAACCTAAACAACCATAGTAAAATTAGTTAAGGTCCTCCCTTCTTTGGAAGCTTCAGCTTCAGATTGTCCAACAACGTAGCCAGGTACTGCAAAAACATTACTAATCTTCAATTACTGTATGCAAAGCAAAGCAAAAGGACACACATCTAGTAGCAGAGAGCATAGAGGGACAATGATTCTGATTTTCACTCATAATATAATCTACAATCAGATGATCTCTCCACAATTTCGTTAATTCTTGATGAGCAAAACCTAAACTTGTTACTACTCCCTCCGTTTCAATTTAGTTATTATTCCCTCAATTTCAATTTAGTTTATTTCAATTTAGCTTTCTCCGTTTCAATTTAATTATTTTTCCCTCCATTTCAATTTAGTTGGTTTCAATTTAGCTTTCTCCGTTTCAATTTAGTTTTAGAGTAAATTTTTGTTTCAAAATAAATGTTATTTTATAATTATAATGCAAATTATTATTAATTTATATGCTATTATATTTTTAATTAGAATGTGGTTAAATGTATAATTAATTATGTTTTTATCTAGAAAATATGCAAATTTATTATTTTTTAAAAATTTTGTGCACATACATAAAACACAATTAAAATAAAATGGAGGGAATATGTGATTATCTGGTCGATTTCGGGATAAGAGACGATTAATTTACGAGAAATATAGCTACGATCGGATTCAGGAACCTCCAAAACTAGCAGAAGCATCATCCATTTGATTTCGAAGGAGAAAAGTTAAACCTTGAGGGAGAGAACGAGGGATTCCAACGCAGCGAGGGTGTTTATCCTTTGATTTGAGAGTGGAAGAGTAATAAAGATAGCCTTTGCACGATCTTCCTTTCGCCACTGATCCTCTTCTCCCTTTTTGTTCCTCTTCCATTACTTCTCCGCTAGAGCCTTCACTCATGAGTCATGCCCAACCTCTCTCTCTCTCCTACGGCGGTGTCCGTAACCTGTTTCGAATTGTTTGCAAATAATTAAATGGGCTTAGGCCCATAAGACAACTATTTGACCACAAATTATGAAACGGTAGCGTTTTGTGTGTAGGCAAATTTATCCTTTTTCCATTCTTTAAGGAAAGCAGAGTTCTTTGTGGTTGAGAAAAAAAAACGATTTATTTGTGCAATAACAATAGATCTGGCCATTTGGGTCTTCGGGTCGAGTTTAGACCGGTTCTTTTCGAATCAGGATTTTGTAGATTTTAGAAATTTGGATTTAATAGATATGATTATGAGTAATATGAATTGTTTGATAATTGACATTAATTTGTTTAATCAATAAAAATGATTTTTCATAGAAGTTTTTTCACGAGCATGATTGTAAAAGTTAAAATCAATATTAGTTTTTGTTTGTTCATAAGAGATTAATTGTAATTTCTCTAAGTTATTTTTATATTAAAGTTATAATATATATCTTTAATTTCTCTTTTAAGTTATATTTACATCCCCTATATATTAATTGAGAAGAATTACAACATATTTTGGTAACCATTTGTTATAAAAATATTTCGCAATTTTACTAGACAAAAATATTAGTCCATATAAATATAAATATACATTTTATTAAATTAAAAATAAAACTATTATTGATGCTAATCATTATTTTCTTAAATAAAATTTACGGAATAACTTAATATGGTTATAATATATATATATATATATATATATATGATAATTAATGATTTAAATATGAAAGATTTGATAAAGATTGTATAGTCTCTACTTTTTATATTAAATTTTATATTGTGAAAATAAATTAAATAATAAATTAACTACATAACAAAAAAATTAGTTTTTTCTGTATGTTATATTTTAAATTTATAAAACTGACTATAAATTAATAAAATTTAAAAATTTCACATAATTTTTTTTTTTGATTAATAATTTAAATTTTTTGTTATAGCACGATACAAACAATTATATAATTAATGAGTAAGAAATATCATTTAATAGATATTTAAATTAGATGTGTATATATATATATTAGTGATGTTTAAATTAAACTAAATACTATTTAAATTATATAAATATTTAATTCCAAAATTGCATTGAATAAGTATTGAAAACTTAATACTTTAATGACAAATTTTATATTCATTTTTAAACGAGGATAAATTATTGTAAGTACTAAATCTCTCACATTAAAAATGATATTTTCAATATTTTAAAAAATTATTATAAAAATATACAAATGATTATAAAACCATGTAAGTGTGAAACTTCATTTATTAGATATCCAAATTAAAAGTAGTATATATATATATATATATCTATTTTAATATCATTTATTAATTAAATTTAATTATATAAAATGATTATAAATTAATAAATATTATTATTTTATTTAAGTGCTCGTTAAATTAATTGTATATATAATAGTTTCAGATTTTTTGATTATTTGTTATATATATATATATTTATATAATATATAAGAGAACATAAAATAAAGAATAAGACATAAAATATTTTTTATATATAATTTTCATCCTGCTCAAATGTACGAATATTAACTTAATTTAAACTTAAAATTTAAGTCATATTTGACAAATCTCATTAATTAATTGCGATGTTGATAGAAGGGGAACGGAAAGAGCATGCGGCCATGGTTTAATCATTACACACGTTAGTTTTTCCATGTTTTTTTTTGTTAGTTCATGTCTTTAGCCCATGTTATACGCTAAAAGCCTAAAACTATCAATTATTCCCCTTCGACGAATTTTCTTAGATGCTTAGTTCGATAAGAAAAATCTATTAGTGTATTTCTTTCTTTTGTAGAAGCTATTAGTGTATTCTCACACCGGCCTCGTTATTTTATTGTCACTTGTTTTTTTAATAATTGTTCCATGTTAAATATTAGTAATCAGAGAAAGAACAACTTTATCACTTATGTCTTCTTGGGTAAACAAAGTAACAAGAGAATTGAGTTGTGGTGTGAAGAAAGAAGATACAAAATGATTCAACTTTTATTATTTTGCACACATCTCACGTCTATTTATAGTACATGAGATTGTCTTAAACAAAGACACCTATTGCTATGATAAGGATACATATTAGTATGACTAAGCATGATGAATAAGAGACAAGTGTCCAATTGAATGACTAATCATTCTGTAACACTCCCCTTGATTAGTCATATTTTATTACGTAATGCCTCGTTAAAACCTTAGTCATGGAAAAACCCGTTGGGCTAAAAACCATGAAAAAGGAAAAAGAGTACACTAACGTAATCTCCTCCTAAACATAATGGACATAGCTTTTTCTTCATAAATCACGCAAATGCCGCATTCCGATACCGTAGACGTGTTTTCGGAACGTCGTAGTAGGAAGGGCCTTTGTAAACAAATCTGCGGGATTGTCGCATGACCGTACATATTCTATGTCCACTTCTTTATTTTTCTCGAGCTGTCGTATGTATGAGAAAAATCTTGGAGGCATGTGCTTTGTTCTGTCGCTCTTGATATAACCTTCTTTAAGTTGAGCAACACACGCCGAATTATCTTCGAACATTTTCGTCGGCTCTTTCTTATCAATTATTCCACTTGCTTCTTGTATGTGGTAACTCATTGATCTAAGCCACACACATTCTCGACAGGCTTCGTGAAGTGCAATGGTTTCTGCATAATTCGAAGATGTTGCAACCAGAGTTTGCTTCTGTGAACGCCAAGAGATCGCTGTCCCACCGATTGTAAAAACATAGCCGGTTTGCGAACGAACCTTATGAGGATCTGATAAGTATCCTGCATCTGCAAAACCAACCATACCAAACTCGGGTTTTCTAAAATAAATTAAACCTAGGTCAACCGTACCTTGAAGGTAACGGAATATGTGTTTGATTCCGTTCCAATGTCTATGAGTAGGAGCCGAACTATATCTTGCAAGAAGATTAGTGGCAAAGGCAATATCAGGTCTGGTACAATTCGCTAGATATAACAACCCACCGATAGCACTCATGTAAGGTACTTCTGGACCTAACATCTTTTCGC